GAAAAACGATTTACATTATTAAATCGTTAACAAATTTTGTATTGTAGATATGGAAACCAAGGTTTGGTCTTCTGCTTGGCCGAAGTTTTTGTAATTGAGGCAGGAACCAATCTAGAACAGACTGAAAATTTAATCTAATTAAAATCTCAACAACCGCTTGTCATCGTCGAGACTTAACTAGTGTATTAAAAATGCAGAGATCGAAAGGCAAATCTCTGAAAACTAAGGGATCGTTTATGTACATCCCTCTCTGTACATCTCCCTCCGGCCACACCATCTTGGCCTTCATATTTACCATCTCTCTGCAAGGTTTAATTTACTCTCGTGTGCAATGGGCTAGGTCAAACGTAATATGGCCCGCTGTTAGTGACATAAGAGGAAAGACTACAAGTGAAACAGATGCAATTTAAAGTGAAAGGTTTCCCCTTTCACTTCCTCTATGGAAAATAGAATTTGGTTAAGTAGACGGCCTGTTTAAAGTCAGGCTAGGCCAAATATTCTAGTGCAGAGAAACAAAATTAATGCGATTTAAAGGTAATTGGCAATCTGAACTTGGGAGACCAGTGGTATAAAACTCCCTCTTGTGTGACGAAGTCGCTCACTATTTAGTAAATGCAAGGGGTATAAACGGAACCAAATTTCTACAGACGACGAGAGGAGAGATGGAGTCTAAAGAGGAGAGCTGACTTGCCTATGCATGCGCCAGTCACTGTCAGGCATTTCAGCATCGTATCTGAATGGACAAATATGTCAGAAACGGAGAGGCGTTTAAGGTGCATTAACGCTCATATTCCCTACACTCACCATCTCTTTCTTCCCCTTCTAGCTACAGGCAGACTAGGAGGCAAGGCAGCCCATCCTCCCTTTCTCGCTTGCTCAAGCTGAAGAGATACAGTCGTCCAATTAGAAACGAAGCAGTTCTTTCTTCCGGTGGCTAGGATTGAAGTAAGCGCGACTTGAGGAGTGCGATGACAAATTGTGAGAAGGCAGTCCTGGCGTTGGCTGGTATTTCAGTCTTGGGGATTTGCTGTCTGAGTAAAGTAAGGTCTACTCTAAACTGGCATTCAAATTAGGCTTACCAGGCGTGAGAATGTTGGGGCGCACGAACCTGACTGCAAGAAATCACCTAACACGAATGAGGCTGGGAGGCGTGCTGAAGCACTACAGAGAGGGTAGGGGATATCTCGTCTATTAAAGAACAGTTGCATAGTTTGCTTTGGTTTATTAGGGTATGATTCTGGTCTGGGTCAGTTCC